AAGTAATAATTATTTAATACAAATAAATATCTATTTTGATAATAGTCAAGTGTATAACCGACTATTTGAATGAAATAAATTTTCTTTCTTTCTTTCAATGAAATATGATTAACAATCAATAGCATCATTTTTGATCTTCTATGAGATTGCAAATTACAAACTCATACGTATATCTCTTTGATAAATTACTTCTTCCGGTAATTACATATATTTTATGTTTAATGATTTATGAATTGGAGCGCTTATATTATATATATATATCTTCGACAAACTGAATATTAAAGATAAATAAAATATACGAGTCTGTGAAATAAATCTGTTATATTTGTGTCCAATCGCCAAATGATGATTTACTGCTTACATGAGTTGTTGACAAGGAGTTGTCGATTGAATAACTCGAGCATGAAAAGCACACACAGTTATTAATTTTTGCCTATATTTTATTCTATAATGACGTGTGTCAATTTTTATTTTATTTTGCTCTATTATTTGAACAAAAAATTTATTCCACTTAAATTAATTTTAATAATAAATAAATATTATTTGTTTCAAGTAATAATTCAGGTAAATATTAATATAATTATTTATCAAGCAAACGATATTTATTTGATTTAAATAATTTTTCAATGACAATTTTATCTGCTTAGTGAATTTAATTCGTATATAAAAGAAAAATAGAATGAAAGATATATATCTTTTTTTTTCTCTATATTATATAGATATATAGCTGCTTTTGTTTAAAAGATTATTTGGTGATCGCGAATCTTACACAATGCATGGCGCCAACTGATCTATCGTTTTGTTGTCTCACCGCACGCGCGTACACGTTACTTCGAAAGAATTTGTTTTTGATGAAAAATTTTTGATATTTTATGTGCAAACTTTGCCGAATGTCAAACATAATTTTTCTGTTTTTCAAAAATAGACGCACGGAATATAAATTTTACGCACACTTTTAAAACGTTTCTCTATAGTAAAATTGTTTTATAAATATATATATATATAGAAAATGTCCACAGGAGCCATTATATAGAATTGAAATCTTTCTCTCTCTATGTCTTTTGAGAATCTCGTGTGAATTATTAGACGTAAAGAATTTGAAAATGAACAGTTTTCCGCATTGAAATTTGTCACGTTCTAATCGTAAAGCTGTACAAAAGAACGCAGATTTCCGGTTTGTGATAAATAATTTCTTTTAGAAACCACAGTTTTTTCCAAGTTTCTCTAGTTTATTGAATATAATTTAATTTATAACACTATATTTATTTAATATAATAATATTTTATATGCAATAAAGTATAATATATTATTTTATATTTTATTATTGTGTATTATATTATTAAATATATATTATATAACGTGGGAAATGATGTGTTTAACGTTTCCAGTTGGCGATACCTTTTGCCCTTTTTAAAAATAATTCCTTAACAAATAGAGTTACTCTCTCAGTAATGACACTTGACTTTCGAGACGAAGGCCAGAGACCTGATAAAAGGAAATGAGAAGAGGAGAGAGCGGTTCGCGAGACTAAAAGGGATGAATAAAGTGGAAGAAAAAGAAAGATGAATTCAAGGAGTTGAAGGGAAGAGTAGGAACGAAACATCCATTATTCTATTCCAACGAAGTGATGCCGGCAATCTGGCCTTATAAAATAAACCACTCTAGCTACCGAGAGGCGCGCGTTGACCGGCACGATCTGTCAAATAAATCGTAACCTCTCGCTTCTTACCAGCTTACTTACAACTCCCCTGTTACCTCTTTCTTTTCCTTCTTCCACAATTTTTCAATTCCCTCTGGTCTCTTATAGTTTTGCATCTTGGGCACAATTCATTTACTCTATGCGAGAGAACATTATTCTCCATCAAGTTGCATTTCTATACAGAAACTTTATTTACTCTTATATGGATGTAGAGAATTTTTTCCTTCTGGTTTGAATACATATTTTCACAATGAAAGAAATTTTATTTTATTTTTTATTATTATTAATGTGAGTAAAATATTTAGTTATATATCAAAATAATTAATTAAAATTGCACTATATTTTTTTAATGTTTAAATTTGATAAAAGTTATAAATAATATAAAATAAAAAACGAAACATATAACTAAAAGACCCTATTATTAAAGGCATTAGGTGCGATTGTCTTCATTACAAAATGTACCACTTGATTTTCTCAAGCACCCTTTCAATGAGATAAATCATTATATTAATAAAAAAAAAATTTAATCTAACCAATTCGAATAAATACTGGACTTCTATTTAAAGTATATCAAAATAATCAGAAACATAAATAACCATTTTTCATAATTGAAGATGGGCTATTTGTATTCATGACTGTTGCTCACTATATAATCTTAATATCTTTAAGAAACGTAAAATGACCTTGAAATATATTATTATTTTTATTTTAAATATATTCATTATTTTAGTAAAATTAAATAAAAATATCAAAATTCGATTTTTTTTACTATGAAATTAAAGTTTGCTTCTGGTATGACAATAGGCGTGTATCAATTTCGTTGTAAAATATAATATATATATATATATTAAAAGAAAAATAAAATGTTCAATCTCATATATAGGCATGAGTGGGTCTCGTGAAAATCAAGTCAAGTGGGGATTGAGAAATAAAAAAAGGGAAGAAGGGTCCAACAATAAGTGGCACTGTGCAGTGTGCAGTGTTCCCACCATGCGCAATAAGTCCCACGATAAAGAACAATTATTATGTTGAATTGGAAGAATGATTTCTATTTTCCTATATACGTACATAAACATATAGAATAATATTGATTCTCTATTACAATTTATTTTTTCAATAATAGTTTTTATAAATTTTAATAAATATTTTTAATAAATAATAATTTTAAACTCATAATCAATGAATTTAAAATTATGAAATTCAAAGTTTCAAATTATTATTTAAAACTACTAATAGTGATAAAATTATTATTTCTTGTTTTTCAAGGCAACAAAAGCCTTGATTAAAAATATATATCTTGATTTTGAGGTATTATTCTCTCTATAATCTCAAGTTGGTTGATTCGAAATTTAATTGTCTGTAGAATGTAATCATTATTGGTTTCCTCCATATAATATCTGCTACCCGCACAGCATATTGCGAGTGTAATTCCAGACTCCTTAATAGATGATCATTCATTTTCTTGAATCGAAATAAATCTCTAATTTTCCACGCGTGGAAAGAATGATATAAATCTCATAAATCATTTAAAACAAACAAACAATTATACCGGAAATTATTGCCCCCTTATACTTCCGCTTGAGACATTAATTTTATAATGCTGGTTTGCTGCATCGTTTGACCTATTCGGGTCAGTCAGTGTCACTTTTATAAACGTTTTCTCAGTTTATGGTTTCAATTAAACAAGTGACTCACAAACATTTGTGTCTGGTCTTCGATTCAAGATGATTTGTTAAATGTATGTTTCAATATTGCATATATCCGAATCACAGATTCATCTTCTTCCGGAGAGTTTTTATGTATATACATATATTATGTCTACATTGTGTCAGGAAGTTTATGCGACGCATGTATCTTGTCAATTGGTAATGGATTTATCATTTGTTGACTATTATAATAAATCTCTGTTTATTGAATTTTATGAAAGATGAGATTGCCATCCATTGCGAAGTATTTAGTATAAATAATATATTAATTTAATCTCCTATTGATTGAAACTACCATTGACTAAAATTACCATTAATTATAAGTTAATAATTTAGTATTTCCATTATTGGAAATAACTATTTATAATTTGCTTTATACTTCTTAATAATAGTACTACATTAATAGAAAAAAAAACAAAAGATCCTTAAAAAATTGTGTTTTGAATAATTTATTCTTCCGTTTTGTGTCGTCTTCCATAACTTCTTTTAAGTTCCAGTTTGTTCTTGTTAAATGACACCAATTGGGTAATTTGACGGCACTTTGCGTGTACACGAGTTACAAAAATTATATCGCAAATTCCTCAAACAGTTACACGAAATCTTATGGAAATTTTGATATTTGCAAAAAAAAAAAAAAGAAAATTGTACATTTGAATTTTTTTCGAAATTTGCGCGTAAAGATAATCAGTTATTGAGAAGTCATTTTAAATTAATTTTAATTCTAAATTTGGTTACTAAGAATAATAAAATTATTTAAAATAATTTAATTTAATTAATTCAACTTAATTGTATTATCGTTTTTAAATAAACACATAAAAAAATCAATAACTTTTTTTTTCAAATAAATCTTTATTTAGATCGGATAAATATTAATTTGACCAGTTGCCAAAAATTTGTTTGATTTAAACAAAAATTATTTTTTTTTTACAAATTTAGAATAATGTCGGATTGTTTATAGAGAATGAACAATAGATTATGCTTTTAATATTTTATAATGGAAATATTCACAAAAGTATATTGCACATAAAAATTGTTTTCTATGCGTGTATAGTGAAATCTGAATGGAAATTGAGTTGTTTGTTTATATGACATGTGAATTTTTTTTTTTTTTTGATAAAATTAAAGCATTAAAATAATTACAAGATGTCTATCGGCCTCATTTGTCACATATGTATTTATATATGTACAGAGACGATTGCGAGAGGACATATAAGAGTGAAGAAAACAAGTTTGACTGAGAACGATCGATCGATTCTATCAGAAAATATAAATGACTTAAATGCTTCTAATTGTCGAACCGCGTGCAATGGCAATTAAGATCATCTCTATATTATTCACGTGCACATTCCTGTGAGCATTTTATTTAAAAAAACAACAACATATATTTCGATAATGTATTATCGCGTTTATATCTCATAGTTAATGTATATTTGGACTTTAGTTGTGATTTAGTGTGAATTAGTTTCTCTTCATTTTTAAAACAATCTGCATATAAACGAAGTTCTTAAATTTATTGCCGACTTTCATGGACCATGGATGTTTCACACAAAAATCCCAAATTCAAATTAGATATACGCAAAAGAGAGTTTACTCACCGATCGTTGAATTGTTTCTAGGAAAATTAGTTCCAAGCAATGTGTTATCTTGAATGAGCTTCTGGTTTCTTTCAATTTGTTGTGGAATTGAGAATCAAAAATTAGTGTCTCAAAATTTTTTAAAAATGGTAAAATTTCTTTTTTTTTTTTTTAATTAATTATTGTCACAATGATTAAGCATTATTGAATTTGATGCACGTCAGGAGATTCTCACTACTGGATGCTGTGCTGATTCACTGTTTCCAGCTTGCACCCTCTGCTGTTATTTCAGGCCACCCGTCGTTATAAATCCCCGGCGCCTTTTAGCACGAATCGTATCTTCCCGCCACGTCTTTCACACAGCTTCCGTTACCTTTTATTTATGCAAATTTTTATCCAACTTTTTTTTTTATTATTCCTCGTTTCATTCACTAATCTCCAAGAAAAGCACTGTACTTGAATTTTGTAAATTCACTATGTCACTGAAGCAAATTTTTCACTTATTTTGTTTTTAAAAAATTTTTTTTTAATTAAACAAATTTCACTTAATTCAATTTTTGTTCTTTAAAAACAAACACTCAAGTTTTAATTTTTGCACTTTGTTCAAAAATCTGCAACCAATAAATCCTCAATTGACACAGGTCACAATTTTTTAAATTTCAAGCACTTGTTTTTATAAATTATAGTCAAACTGACACTTTGTGATTTAAGAATCCTTGTTCTTAAGAATCTCGATGAATTTGCTTCTTTTAATGGAAACAAATTTTAATTTAAAGCAAATTGTCTAATTTGTTAATAACAATGTCACTCATATGAAACTCGAAAGTTAGTACACTTTAGAGATACATATACGAGAGTGAACAACGTGTAGGAAGGATGCGCATTGGAAGCTCGAGACGTAGTGCCAGAAATAACCGCTCGCTTCTCATCACAACTCCCTCCGCCAACCATAGGTCTTTCTGCCCTACCGTCCTCCCCCCTTTATACACCCCCACCCCTCATTAAATAAAGCCCCCAAACACCCCCACCACTTGCTGGCATTACTCCACGTTACTCCCTTGCTTCTTCTTCTTCTTCTTATCCCGTACTATACAATATGCCGACAGAGAAGGATATGGAAGATGTTTGACGCGGCATGACACCCGGTACGCACACGTGCGTGTGCCACTACGCGATCAAAACGTTTGCCGCCACCCGCGATATATATTTTTCACCACCCCCTTCTGACAAGTCAACAAAAATTCAGAGATTTGCAATTTAACAGTTTTCTTTTTTTGCATTTGAATTTTTTCCCGCCGTTAAAGCTGTTTCTGATAGGTTTTTTCATGCTGAACACGAATCCGTAAACGAAAAGTTTCTATCAGCTCTAGTTTTGGAGAAAAACGGATTTAAAATATCAATAAGAACTTGCATTTTTTTGCAAACTTTAAGTACCTCTAGCACTGAAACAAAAGGTCGTAGAACCTTCCATTTGAGCTTAAATATTGAAGCTTAATGTTTCAACTATCCCCAAAAATCACCTTTTTTTATACAATGACCTCAAAGTCATTTGTAATTCATTTTTGAGTTGCAAAAATTAATTTTGGAATAATTTGAGTGCGTATACCTTCAGCGATGAAATGAAAGGTCATATATAACCTTTTTTTGGGTTTAAACTAAAGTTTGGTGCTACGATTCCTGAAAATTAATTTCCATAACCATTTGTTTCATTGCTAGAGGTACGCGCGTTCAAACTTTTCCAAAATGAATTTTTGGAACTCAAAAATGTAATACAAATGACTTTGAGGTCATGATGCCGGAAAGGTGAATTTCGGGGATTGTAGTAACTTCAATTTAAGCCCAAGTGGAAGGTTCTATACGACCTTTTGTTTCAGTGCTAGATGTACTCAAAGTTTGCCAAAAACGCGATTTTTTAACACTTTAAACTCGTTTTTCTCAAAAAACTAGAACTAATAGAAACTTTTCGTTTACAGATTCGTGTACAGTATGAAAAAAACCTATCAGAAACAGCTTTGACATTTGCCGCACCAATTAATAAAAATGACAAACTTAAAAACAAAAAATAGATTTTTCCCTCATATTTAAAACAATTTAAATTATTATAAATTTAATTGCGATTGTGATTGATTAATATAAAATTTTTTCCGTATAATATTTCACTGGAAGAATATTATATAGAATACATATTCACTCTCATGGAACGTCTAATCTTTTTATTTTTCTTCGTGTTAATAGATTTAAGATTAATTGAATAAATTTAAATTAAACAATTATTACAGAAGAAAATTCATTATATAATGTAAAGAATGAATGCATTTGATTGAAACATTAAAAATTCATTAATCTGACACCTACAAAATATACCTTATATAATGAGAAAGTTATAATATACAATAAATAGAAAAAAAATATTGTATGTTTCAAAATAATTTTTTAATAAACTTGTACTTGGAAAATCAACAATCGATCAAAGTCAGATCTAATTTATGTACATACAGAGAATGATGTGATATATTTTTTTTTTCATTGAATTATTATAATTCAATTTGGAAAAGCACACCGAGAGACCATATCCAGCTTAGCAGGTACATTTGAATTTAAATACTATATTGTGTATTTCAAAACATTCATGTTTCAAATGGCCTGGCGCTGATTAAATTCAAGTGCAGTTAATTTTAATATTTTGAATCCCTAAAGGCAAGTCGGACTTTCCCTTCGACCCACTCCTGTATGTATATATATATTACTTTTATATAGTTTCTTTGTAGCATCCCACTACCGGGTCCCAAAAATCTATACTAGAGAACACGTTTTGAACATGTGCTGTTATAGTAACGACCACTTTGTCCCTTTCAGGACACTCTGTACCACCGTCGGATGACGATTTCTCCCTCAAAGCGTCCAAAGGCATAATTTTTCTGTCTCCGTTGCATCTTCTTTTTCTTCTTCTTCTTTTTCCCCCCTCATCCTCATTCGTATTCTTCATCGTCGTCTTCTATGTATATATATATATATTTATAGAAATGCGCTATGCGACTCGCCTAATCATTAACAACAGACGGGACGAGCCCGGTAACTTTTTTTTTTTTTGAACCGCAAATTTTCAAAAGAAATTTAAAAGAAGACTACTCAAGATCCTGAGTAACCTTGAATTCTTGCGAGACGTAAAAACCACTAATTGCTATTACGGCCGACTTTTGGCAGATGTCTAAATCTTAGTTCTAGGGTCGTGAGATTGTCGACAAAAAAATAATTAATTTCGGATGCAGTAGCACATCAGATGTTTACCCTCTGTTTGTTCGAGAAAACAAAATATATTTGATTCTCTATCCCAACCAAAAATTTCAGTATTATACCAGAGTTGACTACTGGCGCAGTACTGGTTCAGTATTGGCTCCCGAGGCTGGGCAGTCTGTACTGAATTTATTCAACTTGATTTTATTTTTCTAAATTAAAATGTACTTTATTTTGCTTTTTTGTGGGTAAAATTATTTAAACAAAAAGTTTCCTGAGACCAAGTCTAAAACATTTTGCAAGATTTTCTTTTTATTTTCAGATATATATATGGTATAATATAAATTTAATTTAAAAAATTAAATACAATCGCAAGTAAAATTGCACAAATGTTATATTATCAATAATATAAAATATATAATTAACCTTTCTTAATAGAAATTATAAAAAATAGTTAAAACTACAAACTTATATATTTCAATGGTCAATAAAATTATTGTAATTTGTTTCTGGATGTTATTCTTCAGTTTTCTTCCAAAAGTGAATTATAAACAAAAACTTAATGTTACTTTAAAAATAATTTAGATAATTTTTTTAATAATTACCTAATTTCAAGAATTTAGTATTCATTATTTATTAAATCGTTATATTTGTGATGAGTTAATTTGTAAACTAATTTTGTTTTATGTAAATTGAATTGAATTCATTGCGTTAATTTCTTTATATTTGATAAAATAATTAATAAATCAAAGTGAATAATAAAATAATTAAATAGTTAATTGCATAATTATATACATTATAATTTTTTTTTAAACATTTTTATTTCTACTGAACTGTTTTTATATATTATAAAAACTTTGGTTTTATAATAAACATATTTTTATATTTATTTTTTGATTTTTTAAAATAATAATTTGCAATATATATTATAAGAAGGAATGAAAATTCTTTGTGTTTTCAATTTTATATAATAAAATATTAATTAGTTATAGTTGACTAATTTGGGTTTCTAAAAATTTCAGACACTTTTTCCTAAGTATACCAAAAAGTATTACCTGGAGTGAAACTTATCTCTGTTACATCAGTTAAAGATTTCTTTTCGTATACAATAAATTACAAAACTGACAGTACTCGACCAGTACTGAACCAGTAGTGGTTACCAATACTGGTGCCAACTCTGGTAGCCAATAATGGTAAAATGTTATCATCCCAAAGTTACGCCAACTCTGGTGCCAATACTGGGTGCCAGTACTGCGCCAGTATTTGTCAGTACTGCGCTAGTATTGCGCAATTAGTAAATTTTTGATTGGGATAATGTTATAGATACATTAGAGGAATTTTTGAAGTTAGATTATTTTACATTAGTTAAAATGTCACTTATTGCATATCATTTTTACAAAATTCTTTTTGAAGAATTTTCTTTGTTGAAAAAACAAAAATTATTTTTATAACATTTATAAAATTGTTTTAATGTAAATTTGTAAAGAGTTATTATTATTTCAAAACAGTGTTCACAAATTTCGATATTGCTATTTTCATGGCATTTTTCTTTCCGAAATATTTGTGTCAATATCATATTACTTTAAGTTCAATGTTCATGTTGAAAGAAGATGTTTAGAGACAGGAAAAGGCGGAAAACATTAGTTACAGAAAGTGTCAAAAGTGCAAACCCAATGATCAGCTATAGGTTCAACTTAATGCCAAACTAAACAAATTCTGTCACCATCGACCATTGTTTTATTATGTTTTGGGCCAGACACAGCTGTTGTCACTATCCGGTTCACAAAAAAAAAAGTTCCCTCCTTCTTCCTTCTACAGTCTTTTCCATCTTCTTCTTTTTTTTCACTGATTTACTTGGTTTTCAAATAAGCACAGCTATTCAAATATAAGGGAAAAACATTGGAGATAAAAAATTATATCCGTGGAAAAAATTGTGAAAATTTATAAAGTAAAATTTATTTGAAATCAAAAAAAAATTTGTTTATTTAATTGTACATTAAATTACACTATTAATTTAAATTCTATGTATAAATATAGACCTAAAATTAATTATTTTTTCTAATTTTAATTAATCGAATTCTCATTTAGCAGAAATCTTATTTAAAATTAAACCATTAAATTTGTCCAAACAATAACATTTGACAAAAACATTTCAACTCGAATTTAAATGATTAAAGTCATTCAATTGTTGTAATTTCACATGTAAAAATGTTCTTCGCAGGTTTTCTTGATTTTAGTCATTTCTTCAAATTGAGATTTTTTAGAATAATTTTTTTTTTAATAATAATAATATACCTTGGCACTATTATTATTACTATTTCTAATTTATCCACAAAATTTTAAACTCAATTTGTCCAGTATTTTGCGAGAGGAGAATATTTACATGTGAATTCACCACAATCACATGACCTTAAGCAATTAGAATTATTGGGAAAAATTGATATTGGGTCTTGTGTATTATAAAAGAGAAAGATTATTACATTTACATAAATATGCGTATATGTAAAATAAAAATTACGTAATATATAATCAGTTGGGTCTGTCCGTTTTCCAGGAAATGCAACAAAAGTGACGGGACTTCAGTTTTCATCTTCAGGCGGGCAGTGTGTTGACCTAATTGGTACGTTGAGAACAATATAGACGCGGTTCAAATAGCAGGTCAGAATACCATTAGGAATTAAAATTTACAAATATTTTATTTGTTTCGGGAGTGATAATTTTATTTTCTCAAAACCGCGAGTGATTTTTTGTTTTTTCTTTAAATATATTTTTCCGTAATTTTTTTAAAAATTATTTTTGTTTCGGAAATATTTAAATTTAAGTAAATTGCGTCATAAAAATTTTAAATATTTTTCCAAAATTTTAATTTTTTTTTAAATTCTGACTTTCACGTGATCTCGGTAGTTTTCGCATTTTCTTAAAACCGCGTCCGTTCCTTAAGAAGTATTATTTAACATAAAATATTATTATTGTGAGTTCCGGAGTGTTTGACTTTTTTGAAATCGCGTGTGAAATTTTTTTGGAAAATAAATTTAAGTACCACTCCAGAATGGAAATCAGGGACGGTCAAATGGAATGTAAGGTAAGATTTTTCGTTTAAAATTAGAATAATATTATATAAAGTATAGGATTCTAAATAATTAAGAATTATTGACCTCAACAATTTTTACCATATGTTGATAATCACCGTATTCTATTTTATTGGTATTTAAATTATTTAATTAATAAATTATTAAAATTATTATTATTATAATTATTATTATCGAAACGAATAATTTCTACCACCCCTTTTTTTATGCAACTCTCCATATGGAGACAACTGTTCCAAAACAAAAGTTCCAATTCTTAAGGGCCCAAGTTATTGTTTTTCCAAAGGACATTTTTTCCAAAATATTTTCTTTTCAATAGTCCTTTTTTTCGAAAATTGTTTTTTTTATTTTTCAAATTTTAAAGTGAAACTTCAAGTCAGGAAACATTCATGTGTTGTTATTTTATGTATATAATAAAGAAATACATTCTGTATACCTACATCTGTAGATAAATAATAACTATGACAGAACTAATATATGAAAATTTTTTTTTTATACTTTTAAAAAGTTTTATTTTTATAATTGTAAAAAAAAAATAATTTTTTTTACTATGAATTTTTATATTATAAACATTCAGATAAGAACAATGTGAAACACATTCTCGAATATTTAAAAGCCATCGGCTACAACATACATTTTTTATCTTATTTTTTTAAACAAATTTTATACTCTTATTTCTTGAACAGTTTAAAATTTTTTTCTTTTCGTAATTTTATACTTTAGGACATTTTACTTTTCGAGATTTTGCTCTTTGGAATTTTTGTACTTTCGAAAAAAAAATTTTAAATCCAGTACTGGTATTTTCATTGTATCAGTACTGTTGCAGTACCACCCTCCTAGTACTGGCAAACCAGTACTGAGCCGATATTGATCCAGCACTGGCTCAAATAGATTTTATTTTTGATTAATACTAGTTTACAAAAAGTTCTAGATTGAACCTAATGAATCTTTTTGTTTAAATATTTTGTTTATAAAAATTTTTTCACCTTGAGTTTATTCTTCAAAATTAAAATGTATTTTATTTTGCTTTTCTGTGGGTAAAATTATTTAAACAGAAAGTTTCCTGAGACCAAGCCTAAAACATTTTGCAAGATTTTCTTATTGTTTTCAGATATGCAATAAACAAAAAAAAATTTTAAACGATGAAACTACACGGAGAAAAGTAATAATGTAATGTTAATAAAATAATTTGGTGGAGCACTTTTAGTTAAGATTACAAAAATTTAGTTGACATAACAGTAACGAAAGAAGCAATCAATCGAGAAATTTAGTTGGCTGTACCAAAAATTTCGTTCAAGCTTTTGCGTCTGTTAACTGAATAATTTGGTTCTCCAAACCAAACCGTCTGAATGCTCAATTGCGCATGCGCTGTTCTCGTAAATATGTCACACGTTAACCATGCTTCGCTCTTCGTGTCGTCCAGTTTTATTCAAGTGTTTTCGGGATTTTTATGTGTTTCAGAAATTCGGTAAAAAAGTGTGTGTAGTGATGCATATCGAACAGAGAGAATAAGCTTGTTAAAAGAACGGAAGTTTTTCTCCAGCCTGTATACTTTATGAAAATAATTTACACTCACATTGTCACTAGGATTCTTAGTGTAGTGGTCAGCGTTCTTGATTTGCGTTGCATAGTCTGAGGGTTCGATCCCCAGCAGTGTTAGGTTTTTCCGCAATAGAAATTAATTTAAGTAGACATAGGGTAATAAAAGAGGATAACAAAAGTGATAAAATTAAGTGAAAAATAAAAAATATAAGTGTGAGCCAAAAAATAATTTGGTTTTTTTTTCATTTAACTAAATTTTTTGTTTGCTGAAAAACAATAAGTTAGTTGTGCAAAACAAAAAATTTGGTAGACCGAACAAAATGATTCAACGAAAAAATTTAGTAGCCCGAACCAAACGGATTAGTTGCACATATATCAAATAAAAAATTTGGTTTGGAGAACCAAACTTCAGTAGATGATACCAAACAGTTTCCTCAGTGTAAAAATAAATAAATTTGTTCATAAAAAAATTATATTTTTTTAAATAAAAATTTAAACAAATTTTCTTGACAACACTTGTTAAAAATCAAAAAACAACTTTTATTTTCTTAAAAAAGTTTTTCAAAAATTCATTTTGATGAAAATATATATGTGATTAAAATAGATATTATACTTTTGAAAAAAACTTAAATTAAAAAATTTTTACCCGATTTATAAACCTATAAAAAATTAAGTATACTTTTTTTCGCAGAACTTTGGTTTTATATAATAAACATATTTTTATATTTATTTTTTGATTTTTTAAAATGATGATTTGCAATTTACATTAAAATAAAGAATATAAATTCTTGGTGTTTTCGATTTTATATAATAAAATATTGATTAGTTAGTTGACTAATTTAATTAATATTTAATTTGTGTTGGGTTACTAAAAATTTCAGACACTTTTTCCTAAGTATACCAAAAAGTATTACCTGGAGTGAAACTTATCTCTGTTACAGTTAAAGATTTCTTTTCGTATACAAGAAATTACAAAACTGCCAGTACTCGGCCAGTACTGAACCAGCAGTAATTACCAGTACTGGTGCCAACTCTGGTAGCCAATACTGGTAAAATATGTTATCATCCCAAAGTTACGTCAACTCTGGCGCCAATACTGGGTGCCAGTACTGCGCCAGTAGTAAATTTTTGATTGGGAACCTTTGTTTTGAAAATACAGTGTTAAAAAAGGGTTAAAAAAAGTTAAAAAGTAATTAAAATATAAATCATGATTTCTAAAAATCGACCAGTTCCACTTGAAACTTGTTACTCGGGATTTTTTTTGGGTCGCTGATTACGAATCTGGCATGATTTTTCAAAAATTCAAAATGGCTGATCCAAAATAGAGGACACACCTTTGATCTTGCCCCCCACACTCTTCTATTACAATGAAGGTTTTTTTAATAACAGCTGTTTTACAAAAATTAATTTCTGAAAAAAGGCTGTGCCTTTTAAACAATCTGGAGAGAGTCTTTAATTGATCATTAACTAATTTATGAAAAATTTGAAATTTTTAATAAGAAGAGCATTTTTTCTTAAGCTGTACGAACAGCTGATGAGCATGGATATAATTGATGGATGATGCAGCGGAAGCTGACAGTACATTGCCTGTCACTAATCAAATACACCTCAGATTCATTTTCTTAGCGTTGCCTATTCTCTCTCTTTCTCTCTCGCACTCGAGGAACGAATTAGCTTGCGGTTTATAAATAGTTTTACTTGTTCAGTGATCCAATGACAGTAGCTGCAGATGCTTTGAATGACAGACACGCCATGACACGTAGAACGTGTGCCCTTTGCTTTTGACAATAGAGACCACAAACATCATTAAATTTTGTACCAGCATTTTCTCCTTCATGTATAGAGTAAAATGTGTCTTTCAAATATATATATATATATATATATATATATGGAACAACCCATATACATATAGCTGAAAATGTCTTTTGTTGATTAAACAAAATCGTTTTTTCACAAAACGACAAATTTTTCAGGTAGTTAGGTAGAAGTTTTTTTTTAAAGGGGGAGGGAGGGAGGGAATTTAATGTTTTTTTCTATTCATTCACACCTACTTTTATATGTATAAAAAATCGTTTTCGGATGTGTGCGTTGGGTTTAGATATTTTAATAGTTTCTATATTACTTCCGAGGAAGGAATTACAGTTAAACTCTCGTCTTTTGAAAAATCTTATCATTTTTCCTTTATGAGACGCACGACTATATATTTTCTTTGAAAAATAACGAAATAACTTGTAGCACATTGTCACGTACTGTGTGATGCATTATTTATTTTCTTTACAATTATTCAAGAAGCTATTGTGGGAGTTTATCTTGAGTTTCCTCATTTCTCGTGCTCATTTATTAAAGACAATCATTTTAATAATAAAAAAAACTTCAATAGAGAAAAAAATGTTAAATCTTGACTCAAAAATTAATTCTTTATTTAATTTGTGAGTCAAGATTTATTTTTTATCAAGTCGAAATTTATTAATTCTTCATTAAATAAAGAATTAAGTAAATAAAATGTTCATAATTTTTTTTTTTTTTTATTTCTTTATAAAAAATATATTTTTGAATTGATCTTTCTTTCTATTTATTGAAATTGTTTAACCACGATTTCGCCCTAATTCTTGTTTTTTTTAAAGAAAAAAAAGAAACTAAAATGTAGCACATTATCACGTTCTGTGTGTTACATTACCTATTTATTTTTTTTAGTTTCATTTGGGAAACCATATAGTGTAGTCTTTTTATTTCGTAAAATACTGATTTTACCTTTTATTTATTTTCTAGAATATATTACATTTTCTATTTTAACTATTATAAAAGATTTTTTAATATAATAGAATTTTGTTTTAGTGAAATAAATGTATAGAAGGTTTTTTATTGATTCATTTTGTTTGTTTTATCATATACTTTATTTGTTTCTTTTTACATTTTCATCATAGTTTTAAATAAAATTTTATGAAGTGCACTATAAAATATCTTTGGCAGATTTTATCGTTTAATGCATTTACACGGAAAAAATGAATTCAGTAGATTTTACAGAACTATCACGGAGTAGCGGATACAGCTCTTTACGAAACTGAGTGTTGTAAAATGTCACGAAATATTCAGGATAAACTCCAGAAATATTCAGCATAAACAACGAAAGTTCTGTAGTTTATCCGAAAATATCCATCACATTTTACAAAACTCAGTTTCGTAAAGAGCTGTATCCGCTACTCCGTCACAGTTTTGTAAAATATACTGAATTAATTTTTTCCGTGTATGATGCACACGTGATAGAATTTTCTTAGAAACTATAGTGATATAATAATAAAACTATGCACTACATAAATCATAAAGCGATGATGATTATAATTATATATATATTTTAAGAAGCAATAACACTAAATTTTCAATAAAAATTCCTTTTTGACATATAAAATTTTGATAAACATTTCTTAACTGTCAAATTTTTAAAT